TTTGGCCAGAACCCTGAAGAATCGTTGGCTCCTGAGTTTGCAGCAGCTGGGATAAAGTCGTAGCGGGGCTAGACTAGAATCTAGAATTGCTTAGGGAAGCAGGCAAAAGAAAAGAAAGAGAAGGAGAACAAGAAGGCATGGTTATACCTCTTTCTGCTTTGGTATTGTTCTAGAGCTCAGCGCCTAAAAACACGTTTTTTGCAGGCATCATGAAGCTATAGATCTTGACGCGCAGGCCCAAGAGTGATAACCCCCCAATCACTCAGACCATATCATTCGCTTCGCAGGACTGTGTGATCTTTGACTCCAAGGAGATGTAGTGAGTCTCTCTCTCTCAGGACATTTTGCTCAAGCATGGCTTGTCCCGAGTTCCATAAGACATGTTGAAACAGCTTGTTTCATAAAAGGCAACTCACCAATGTTCAGTTCTTTTTGTTTGGGGCCTGCTTGGCTGGGGATATGGATCCAAACTTTGGGCAATAGACGCGAAGCTGGAAAGGCAGCCTTGAGCACTTGCTCTTTGAGGATCCGTTCAGGAAAAGAAAAAACAGGTTTGGTGTCTTTGCCCACGCGTCTCACCGCCACACCATGGTGCCACAAGTGCTGCCCTGCGTCTTCCCCTGCGATCAGGTCTGGAGCCTCAAGACGGGGCATCAAGGGCATTGTCGACCGATTGGTGAGCAAGGTCATGAATGGTGAGGCTGGCAACCAGTGTCAGTTCAAAGCCGGGAGTTTCTCGATTGGCAGGCCTCCATGAAGTCTTTGAGTGAAGACCTGAAGGATCTACTTGTTGTTCCTGAATACCTGGTACCGTGTGGGGCCCAAACACAATAGCTCAATTGTTTGTTGGGAAGCGACCCCCACTCAGGAAACCTATCTTAGACCTTGCCGAGAAGTTCCAGTCTTGCGGTGGCTGGGGCTTGGAGAGGGCCTTCGTAGAATGGTCCCTTAAACAACCTTGGCGGCGCTGTCTCCCAGAGGTCTTCCAGCTACTTGCCCACATGTTTTGGGCAAACCTTACCCCCACGGCCTTCAAACAAGCTACCAAAACAAGTAACCTGATGCGACTCGTTGCAAGGTTGGAAGTACCACGAGAAGCTCAGCCCAATGTCTTTTGCTGGGGGGCCTGTGGATTTTTGCAATACTTTTCTGAGGTCAAGAGAAACCCATGTGGTGACGCGAACGTCAAAATTGGTTTGCTTCTTCCACATGAGATTTTGGCGTCGCTGTATGCCTTCAATTCCGGAGAGCTGTTCTATGCTTTCCTATGTGGCACGCCTGAGGCACAGCGGCCAAGCTAAACATTTCACTTTCTCAGCTATAGCGCCCTCATGCGCGCGCCCCAGGACTACGAGAGATATTGGGGCCAGGAACATAATCAACAGCTTGCAAAAGATGTCTGGGGATTGGAGGTTCGATCAAATGGCCGCAATAGTTGCAAGTTGCGGCTTGATTTTTCCCAAAAGCTGTTTTCTGTCAGAAGTGTTCGCTGCGCAGACAACAGCTGGTCTTCGAGCTGTTCCTTTACGTATCTATGGTGATGGTGCAGATGTCTTTGGACACTTGTGGGGTATACAAACAATAGTATACAAAACATATTCAAGGTAACCCCCGTATTGGTCCTGGTGCAGCCGGAGCCTACTCTGGCTAAGGAGCTGAAAACTTTGAGATGCTCTCATTGGTAGCAGCTTGCGGATGCATGTCTAGCACCCTGGACAGTAGATTTGTGCCACTGAGTTGCAAAGAGCTGCAAAGAGCTGCGCAAATATAGTCTCGATGTTGTCGTCCTCGAAGCAATAGTCTTGAAGTTGTCCTAGTCGAGGGTGCACCTAGGATGAGCATCCGCAGCACGAATTCAACGGGCGATGCCGCGAGAACTTTGCTCATAGAATGGATTTGTTGGAGCTTCGAAGCTCTGCGTATCTCGGAAGCAAAGCTAATAGGCTAGTAGATGGCAAGCTGGTAGCTTACAACTGTCTCTCCCAATCACAGTTTGTGCTGTCTACTTAGGCACTGGCGTTTGGCCTAGAGATGACCCGTTCCACAGACCCTTTGAACCATGGCTTTCCCCAACGGTCTTTTCATTGTTAGCTTTGCGGTTGTCTTTCAAAAGACCATAGTCAAAGCGTTTTGCCAGTGACAAGCAATCTATAGGACCATGACTATTGCCCAAAATGGGCGCGCGTGGCTGGAACTCCCTTGATGGGAGGTTGGGTGGCGTGCATGGACGGAATCCAGGGTGATCAAGAATTCATTCACAAGTTGATGAAGCTGAAACGAGTCTTGTATGGTTAGTTTTGTGTTGTTTTGCTCCGGTTTCACTTGAACAAGTTTGCAAACATGCACCCATCTTTGCTTAGCCCGAAGAAAAAATTAAGGCAGCTGGCATTCTTTCCGCCGCCTTTGCTGCCACTATTGTGCTGCAACTCGGAGAGTTGAAGCCGGGGAGCTGGAAACCATGCTCTTCACGGCATATGGCCAAGCCGCTGCCCATCGCGCGACGCTGCTCGTCTCCAGAGAGTAGCATGTTTGCGAACCCTTGATCGCCTATAGATCATATTTCATGTCTTCAGGTGCCCCAGCTTAGGTTGCTTCGAACTCGGGATGAATGGGTCCGAGTTCATTCAACGACCCCACTGACCAAAGTGGCGGGGTTCTCGCCGATGCGATCCTTGCTTGGAATCTGTGTAGTTAAATGATGCTAAAGGTGTATATATATATATATAATTCAATAAGTTCAACAAGCCTTCAAACAAACATCTGTTGGTCATCTGAAATCACTAGACGTCCGACTTGTTTTTAGAGAGCCCTCCGAGCCACTCAGACCCAAGGAATCTACCCGGATATAGTCCATATTTCGGATCTACAAGTGGTACCGGACTGCATCGTATCGACCTTGTATGAGCTGTGTGAAGGGCAATATAACAAGGAGAGGTATCTTCAGGATCTGGCGACTCAGTACCAGCAGTGGTGCAAAACAAACAGAGCCTAGGCAAAACAGCGCATGGTTGCATGGTTTAATGCAAAGTATGCAGAGTTCATCGCTGAATTGTTTTGGGGGATGTTTTCTGTGAGGTGTACCCCATGGCATGCGAGCGAACGTGAAACTCCTCACTATGGCGACAATTGCACCTACCCAAGTTTCTTACGCACACATCAGCCAAAAAATTCTCAAGGCAGCAGCTGGCAGGATGTTTCTCTTTTGGATTTCGATGGTCGTATACGATGCGGCCACGAAAGACCCTTCGCTTCACAACATGTCCTTTGGTTGCAGAACCTCCTTGGAAAAGGTTTGTTTTGGGCATATACAAGGGTCCCAAACCAACAAGGCACCGGGCCAACGTGTTCTTGGGGCTTACCACGATATATGCTTGTTTGGCGCAGGAAGGGATTCTTGGCTGCATGTGTCTTTTGCGTGCGAGCTTCCAGGTCAGAGCGGCATATGCCTAAGGAAATACCCTAGCCAAGCGGCAGTGGCAGAGATCCAGCAAGGCTATCTAATGTTCCGCAAGTCCTACTCATGATCCTTGTTCAACAGATTTGTTTGCAGTGAAAATCAAGGAAACGCTGTTGCTTCAATTTATGATTTCTGTGGTCTTCTGTAAACGGCCAAGACCTTGCCGATGAAGCTATCAGCTCTAACCGCCTCGTGTGGCAGCTCATGCCTAAACAACATATGCTGGAGCATTTGCTGCTTGGTCTGCTGTAGCGAACTGGGTGCTACCAAAAAGGGTTTGTTGGAGAGATTTCTGCTGTGAGGCTGCTGGACTGGCTGCCGGTTTATGGGAATTGTCGACACTACTCGGTTTATCTAGATGAGGACCTCATAGGCAAGATGAAGACGCACGCTTGTGAATCAGAAACCCTTTTGCCTGTTTACTGGTTTTTGTTGCACGCACGTAGACAACAATGTTTGTACTTGGACCACCTGAGGAGAGTCGTAGGCCACACCCATCCGCGCACGATGGGGGTGGCGGCGTTGAATCATTACTGCATTTTGGCTAGCTTGCGATGGGTGGGGCGAAAAGCCCTGGACTTGAAGTGACAATCGGATGATGAAAAGGCGTGCTTTTTTTTCGTGAAAGAAACCTCAAACATGTTGCCCCCAACACTTAAAGGACCGGATAGCTCCAGATAATATAGTACTGTGTGTATAGGCAACAACCAGCTTGAAAACACGAGTCTGTTAGTTTTCGCATTGCCTCTCACGGGTTGGCAAACATGTGTGGTGAGATGTCATCGATGTCATGGAGAGCTAGCCTGAATGCCAGCCTTGCTCAAGGATGAAAAGACAAGAACCTGGGAAGACCCCAACTTGTTTTCTACGCATTCTCATCTTGACCCTCTTGACTTAACCTCTTTCGCAAGTTGCAGCGCTTCTATATTTTGACTGGGGTCACAAAATGCCTCGATGTGCGCTTGCGTATGTGTTTTCTTTGCTTTCGGGCCAACCGTCGTATGGTAATTAGTATGCGGGCCACTTGTATCATACTTGTGCTGCGCTAAACTTATGAAACTAGAGATTGGCATATTCGTGTTTGGCGTCAATGAGGAAATCCTGAAGGTGAGAGAGAGAACAAGAGAAAAGAAAGAGAGAGAGAGAGAGAGGAGAGGGAACGATCGCTTTTTTTGGTTGGGGTCTGCTCGGCCCGGCGCTTTGTGCCCTGTTTTGCTTTCGTGGTAGCGATGTGAGCCCCTGTTTGTTTCAGGCCAGGTGCTTTTGTTTTGAGTTAGTTATTCCAACGGAAACGGAAACGAGTGATGCAGTGATGGCAAGAAACTTCGAGATTCTCGAAGGTTTCCGCTCAGATTGCCGGGGCTCAATGACACTACTGTAGCGAGGACGGCGAGGACTAATGATAGTTTCAGGAAGAACTACTAGCCGACAACAGACAACAAACATTTGAATCGCCAGCGCAGCCAGATCTACTTCATATTTTCAATACCATGTGCGCCCGAAAACTCTTTTTGTGCGTGAGCGCCAATGTACCGATGTACCCATGCTCCTTCTTGCTGGTTATGCAAATGGCCATCGCAGAAAGCGCTTGCCAAATGGCAGCCGTGTGATCTGCCACTTGCCACAACCAACTTGGTTTTTGCGCCGGCTTGCCTCTCGTAGCTTAGAAAGCAAACTCCACAAGGTCTCAAAGGCTGATACTTGGACAGCTGTTGATATAACGCAGGCGCGCATCGTTGGTTTTGCAATTTTGGGCCCTGACCAATGCCGGGTGGGCAACCTCGCAAGATGGTCAGCCGAGGGAGATCTTTTATGGGAATATATGGGTAGGCCCATGGCTTGTTTCACATTGAAAATCAAAAAATGTATATGTTTGACCGCCCTGTTTCTGTGTCATCAGCTCGTGGCCATACTGCAAACGTGAGCCTGGCCCACACTTTGTTCCAGACCAACACTCGCGTGTTCACTCTGGATTCGGAATGCTTTTCAAGAGTCACTGGCGAAAGAGTGTCGGTTGGCAGCGTTGTGGACCCTGGGCTGATGCTTCATCAGTCGTGTCTATTTTCCTAAGTTTGTAGTTGTAGCTTGGGGTAAGCTGCAGCTTAAACCCTTTGTTTGCTTTGATTTTTGTTTTAAGGGCTTGCGGGGCGACAATTGCCAAGGATGGCTTTGAGCTTCCCTTCCTCGATGAGCATTTGGCTGATGTCCCAGTGATGTGGTTGCCGGAATGCATTTTGGAGCTCATCTCTTTTCAGGAGTGGAGCACGATTCTGATTCTGCATTCCCCGTCTCATTCGACAGCGAAGAGAACTCACCAGGTTTGTTTGTCTTGGCTCCGGAATGCCTTGCAATGGCCAAGTGACATTGATGTTCAGCAAATGGTACAACATACTGGGAGGTTTGCGCAGAAAGCCGCTGTTCCCCTGGATGAGCATGGGGTCACGTTTCTGTTGGATGTCCTCCGTCAAACAAAGAACTCACTGTTGGATGAACTGGAGGAGCACGAAGCTGAACATATGTACTTGCAAATGGAGCGCGCTGCCGAGGGATTGCATTTTCTGGCAGCTTCCTTTGAATCAACGTCAGGTTTAAGCAAAAATGCAGGCAAATCAGGTGAGCTGCTGGTCAATGCCGTGAGGATTGCCCGCCATGTCCGCAATCGCAGCAATTTGCAAAGCCTCCAAGAGCTTATGGTGGACGCTTTCATGCCAACTCCGCTCAGAGATTTGGCAAAATCTGTCATGGACCGTGCTCCGGCAGGTGCCAGCATTTCCAGGCACCAGGTGGGGGAATCAAAAAATGAACACGAACACCATGTACCTAGAGGTTGGGATTGTTTAGGGGCCCAAAACGGCAAACCACTCAGACTCACCACTTCAATTTGCCGCTCAGGTGACAGTGGACGCTGCTCTCTCATTGTTCTACCGTGACATCCTGAAGCTCCAAACAGGGCCTGTGTACTTGTGGTGCGACAGCTCTCCGCAATTGGGGGAAGATTATTTGCTGTCAATTTTTGATTACATCCAGGAAGAGCAGGTTGTTTCATGTTGGAACCAGGCGCAAAATCTTTTCAGCTCTGTTGCTGCCTTCCAAAAGGCATTTGCTGAAGGGGATGAAGGGGAGGTGGAAGATCAAGCAAATATCCGGCATCATGCTGGGCGCTTTCTGAAGCAACACATTCATAGGCACCGTCAAATGCCTATGGGGCTGGGCAGTGGGGCAAGCTCTCTTCAGCACAAAGCCCGAGCTCTAGCTATGAAATTTGCGCACGAATCCCATGACGTGCCAGCTCTTCGTTCGATCTGCCGGCAGGTGTGCTCGTTGACAGTGGACATGGGTGTGGAGGTTGGTCTTGCAGAAGTGGCTGGCGGCGACGTGAACGACTACTTACCACCCTGGATGCAAGACCGGCAGGGCCTTTTGATGGATGAGGGCATGGATGGTCTGGAAGAGTTGGTGCAACGAACAACTCACCTTTTCCCACGTGCATTTGTCAGCACAGGTCTGGACCATATCAGCAATAATTTGCAAAACGATTTGGACCAAAAGTTGAGCGGATGGAGTGGTTGGCTCCCCAAATTCAAGGCTTTGTCAAACCTGTTGAGCAAAAGACACCACTTGAAGAGGTTAGTTGCGCGCTGCATTATGGACACGCCCTTCTCGCCCTTGAAGCGCATGTTTGAAACTACCGTGGAACCATGTGCAAAATGGAGGTGGGGCACCATTTGCAAAACTTTGCCAGCTATTCTTGCCCTTCACCGTCCTCTTGGCATGATCTGGAGCAAGGCAAAATTTGAAGTGGGGCGCAACGACCAGGATGAAGAGCGCAATGATGATGCTGTACTTGACCTTGATTTGGTCACAGCAGCTGTCACGAGCCCTTCCTGGTTCGCATATGGACAGATGATTTTACATCTTCATGAAATTGCCAACTCGATTTCTGGTTGGGGTTCAGGTTGTGCGTGCCATGAGTGGCTCAGGCCTCACAAGCAGTCTTCGGACAGTCCATGGGAAAGTGCTTTGAGTGCTGTGAGACAGAGTCTGGGGTTGGAGAGTGGCTTAGACGGCTTGTCGTTTCAGTGCCCACTTGCTGGAAAGCGGGCGCCCGAACTTGCATCGGGGGCTTTGTTGAAAGTTATTTGTGAAAGGATCGATGACGCTTTCCCCAAAGTGCTTGTTGAATCTGCTGGGGCAGGGCCTGAGCACCAAGAGCAAATCTTGAGCGATTTCAATTTGGGCACTGGCTACATCAAGTTGGTGGTTGAGCTCAAGCTGGGACATTGGAATGATTTTCCCTGGGTCCTATGCAAGCTGGGCCTACCGGGCGATGCAGCCCGTCAACAAGGTGCAGCTGATATGCTGGCCACTTTTGATTCGCTGCCTCAAGACCCAAAAAGCCACCATCGGGTCACTTTATCTTTCATGGCGACGGGGAGTGCCTTGAGGTCAGATATGGAAGCGCTTGCTGGCGGCGCGCCCATCAATCAGTTGCCAGCGTTGGCTAATTCTTTGGCCCGCCTTTGTTTCTTGCCTGTTTCAGAGCGCATTGTTGAAGGTGAGCATTCGATTGTCCACAGGCATGGAGGCTACAGGAAAGTGACAGGGGCCTATGTCTCCTGTTCCCAGCGGCTTCCTGAAGTCGACGCGCTTATGTCCAACCAAGAAACCCGAACAAGGTTTCTTCAGGCATTTGAAAAGACTCGAAAACTAAAGAACATGTCAAAGCTTTTCAGATTTTGCAAGCATCCTCAATGGACGGAGTTGATGGCTAAACCCAAGAAAGAAAGATCTGGTGTTCAGAAGCTGGCAAATGCAATCCTCTACAGCGTTGATGTTTCCACTCAATTTCTCAATTTGGGAGATGTGCGGGCAAAGCACCAAGCCCAGAAGCGAGCCTGTCAAAAGGTCGAGGAGTCCTTGCTTCCCAAGGTGAGAGTTCGCCTCTGCCACGAAGCTGTGCTGAACCATGCGCTTGCAGATCATGTTTGCAACAGCCTGAAACCAGGAGGGTTCTATTCCATGCCAACCGACAGCTTTCAAGAGGGTGGCTTGACGTCTTTGAGCGTAGCCCGTTGCTTTTCAAGCCAGCCACGACCAAGTTCAAGCATAGATGCAGCTTTGTCACTTGATTTGCCAGGCCAAACGCCAGGCCAAGAAGAACGCCCTCATGTGTTTTTCAAAGTCTTGACAACTGGCGCTTCCCGGTTGAAGGTGACAAAAGCTGCGCCCGCTGGAAAGCTTCGTCTGAAGAAGGGTGATGTGGCCATTACACTTCACAAAGCTGAGCTGGATGAGATCTCCAAAACGTGCTTTGTTGAATCCCGACCCATTGCTTGTTCTGACCTTGGAAACCCAGTCCACATCCTTTCCGGGTTTGGGTTGCGGGCTGGTGAGGCCGGCCAGGTGCTACAGTGGGAGCGTAGTCATGACAAGTGCCAGTTCACATTGCCGCATTTTCAAAGCGTCAGGCATGCAGCGCTGATCAACCAGTTTCTGGAGTTGCAGGCTTTTGAGGGGAAACCTCATTTTGTCCAGGAGAACTTGTTGTCTAGGCCCATGCTGCAAGAGCTTTTGCACGAAGGCTGGGCTGTAGCATCTGACAATGGTTGGCAGCTCACTGCAGCAGCTTTGAGACAAGTTTGTGTTGCCCAGCGTGTTGGAGAGCCAAAGCAGTTATTCACCCCTGCATCTGGTGAAGTGCCGCTTGCTGACCAAACAATTTGGCAACTTTGTGTGACGCTGAACAATCTAGGCTGGCAATGGAAGCCTTTCTCCCGAAAGTCACCTATAGAGGGGTACATGCAGGGCAAGCCTCGTGTGTGGACCACAGCTGGGGTGACGGTCAAAAAGGAATATGTGCTTTGCCTCCTTTCTGCAGACAAACTGTTTGAGCAGCAGGCTGACTGCGTGATTCACCATGAGAAGCCAGTGGCATACTACAGGCACCTTCTACAAGGAGAGTTTGAGCTTGCCTGCCATTTTTTGGAAGAGCTGGGGCAACGCTCGCAATTGCGACTAGCTGACCGTGCAGAGTTGACAAGAGATACCCGACCAATGATCATGGATGAGGGCATTGAATGGTGCTTAGGTGTGGACAGTGGTGTAGCTCCTGTCCGGTCAACGCCTGCAAAACGGAAGCGGCAAAAGCCTCCGGAACACTCGGATGGAAGTGATTGTCATAGTTCGGCTAAGGCTAGCAGTTTTGACAGCGTTGGTGAGTTCCTTGATGAGTTCTTTGATTCTGAGCCCGAGCCCGAACTTGCAGAAGTTGCAGAGGAACCTGATTTAGCGGGCGATGAGTGTGGAGCCACTCCGGAGCCAATCCCAAAGGGCAAGAGTGAGGTTGCGCGCAAAGTGCAGCCTGATTCAATTCTTTCTTGGGGCATTCCTGGCTTCCGAATTACATGGCGAGCACCCAGTTCTACCCATGTTCATGGAGCTTGGCAGGGTACTTGCACCTTCCACCGCCACTCGGCGACTACCAGGTGCACCAAAAGCGTCAATGTGGGGGGTGATTCAGACACTGCAAGGGAACAATGCCTGTTGATGGTGAAGAATTGGCTTGTTCAAGCAGAAGCTTTTGACAGGGCATGGAAACATCGGGAGTGGAACCCACGCTCACATGAGACGCCGCCGCCTGCAACTTTGGAGGCTAAGGCCAGCAGCATGGGGATGCCACCTGACCCTGTGCTGGCCGATGGAGATCATGATTCCGCTACAGCCAAAGCGAAAGGGAAGGCTAAGCCCAAACCTGCCACGAAACGCCGTGGAAAGGCCAGCGCCAAGCCAAAGGCAACTGCCGGGTCTGCTTCTCGCGCTGGCTCCAAGTCGAGTTCATCGAGCTCGTCTGGATCAACGTCATCAGATTCAGAGTCCACTACTTCAGACTCAACTAGTGGTTGAGGCCTGGGATTGCCAAATTTCCATTTGGTTGGGTCATGGAATCTGACCCCCTCAAGTCCTGTTTGCATCCTCCAGGATATTGGGTTTTTGGTAGTTAATGTAAGACTTGTGGGGGTCAGATTTCATGGCCCGGGCCAAAGTGGACAAATTGCAACCTGGGAGTACTAAGATAGACAGGTTGAAAGATCCTTTTGATCTACTGTATTTTGGAATGCAAACTCTGTGTTTGACCTACACGGATCAATTTCAAGACGATTGCAACCTTCCAGGGAATTGGTCTGAGCTCTGTTGCGTCAAGTGGCTCGCATTTTGAAGCGCACCACTTGGCAAGGCCTGGTTTGAAACAAGGTAAGAAAGAAGGAAAATGAAGAGGACGTTGTTTGCTTAAGAGGATTCCTATTGATTTGGTCTAGTGATCGGATGGCTATAGTCGACTGAGCCTGAACTTACTCAAGAGTCTCTTTAGGGTCATTCCTTTTTTCTCAATGCTTTGAGCTTAGCTGATCAACCTCTCTAAAACGGCGCTTGGATGGGGCTTCGTGTTTGTTCGATCCAGCCAGGCTCTATTCATCAGATTCCTTTTCCTTCATTGGCCGGACCCTTGGCTACCCACAGGGTAGCTTATGATAGTTTTCTCAACCAGAGATTGAAAGGGATGAAGCCGAAGCTGTATACTTGTCGGACCCAATTAATCTACTGTACCTTTTCTTTTCTCTAGTGTTTCTTTCCTTTCGATACTCTTTTTGGTTTGACTGAAGTTGTGATGCGAAGCCCGTGGAATTTTCCAATTGCAACTTCAAAGGCTTCATTTGGCTTCGCGTTGTCTACGGGGTTCAGCGCTCAGGTTCCTCCACTCCAGGTTCTCTGATTTGCTTAGTTTGGCTTGATGGTGAGGGCAAGCAGTTCTGTGAAGGAGGAAGTGCAGCAATCCAAGTCTGTGTTGTCCTCAGCCAGCTTGATCATAATATATATTTATGGTTATATATAATATGGCTATTGTATATGGTTCTATATAATATGGTTATATATAACCGAAGAGCTTTTCAAGCGTTGCTTCTTTGCTCAAAGCGTTTTTGAAGTGTCAAAGAGGTGAGGGACTCATTTTGCATGTTTCTGAATGTTTCTGTTGTTTTTTGAAGGTTCTAGGTATGTTTGGTGGGTCTTGTGAGGATTCGCAGCTCAATGGGTTGGGGCCTGGGCGGGGGCAGTTCTAGACGGAGCTGGCCAGCTTTGACGGAGAGGAAACGTGAGGCCCCAGGAGGCCCCAAGGTCAAGTGCTTGTATATAGGTGTTGTGAATACCTCCCGAGTGCTATCCGAGTACTTCCCGAGTACTTCCCGAGTACTTCCCGAGTACTACCCGAGTACTTCCCGAGTACTACCCGAGTACTTCCCGAGTACTTCCCGAGTACTTCCCGAGTACCGCCCGAGTATCTCCCGACCACGCTCGGAGTTTTCGTTGGTGGCCTGAGGCTGCCAACCTCTACATGGGCTGGAAACCATGTCCGGCGCTTGTGGTGGAGCAAGACTTTGCAAGAAGCCTTTCAGGAATCATCAAGAACACACATTTTGGTGAGTAAACTATGGTAAATCATCGAAGAATCAACGAATCCTTTTTCCACTGCTTCTGTTGGATGGTTTGAGAGGCGGATGCTTTCAGACTTGTTTGTGAACGGTGTGAACGCTCTAATTTTCTCTAAGTTCTTGGGCTCTGAGCTTTGAAGCGGGTTTCGGGCTCCATGCCGGAACCTCTGCTCCGAGATGATGGCATTGAATTTGAGCATGGACCACAGGGTCCCCAGACCTACCAAGATTTGTTCACGTGGCCGGCTTTTTTTGTGGATGCTATCTTGCAAAAGGACAATGAGGACCCTGACCTTGGCATTGGCGTGAACATGGTGAATAAATTTCATAGTGGGCTTCATGTTGTGACGGATTACAGTGGGGTTGGTAGTCCGGAGGTTGCTTGCCACTTCATCCACAAAGCTTTGCAAAATAGAGCCGGCAGCGGCTATCACATCCCACCCCCGTGCTTTGTTAGAGCCAGTGATAGCGATCCGGATTGCAGAGCCGTTTTGCTTTCGCATGAAGGTGAGAGTGCGCCTGGGTGTGTCATGGGTGACTTGTTGGAACGTTGCCCACCTCTCTTGCTGCAAGAGTGGAAAGCGTCGTGGCTCCACTATCGCAAGGAAGCCCAGCTTGACTTGGCACCTGATGAGCGCGTTGGCTCATCTCAGCTATTGAAAAGCTTGGTGAAAGAAAAGGGTCATGAATTCCTTTTTGAAGCACTGCGCGCCATGCAACAGCCAGACCACGCCCACCTGGTTTCACCTGTGTGGTGCCACAAGCGCCAGAAAGCTTGTTGTGTGAAAGGGTCTGGTGACAAGCCTCGTGGCACTATTGAACTTGCCGTTGGGGGGGTGACCTGCGTCGACTGGTCCAACATGGGTATTCGCCAAGGTTGGCTTGGAGCATCAAGTATTGCTTTCCTTGAATGGATCAGAGAAAGGAGGATCTTCAGAGAAGATCTTCTACTTGTGGAATGCGTGGAGCCCTTCGACCACGAGGTTCTGGATCATCTTTTGCCCGGATATGGTTTCTTCATGGTAACATTGGGGCCAGATGATTTTGGGGTGCCGGCTACACGGAAGAGGAAGTATATGGCTCTTGTCAATCTTGAGACATGCGCTTGGCACCCTGATCTTAGGAATCCAGTAGAAGCTTTTCGAGAGATGTTTTGCTGCCCTGTTGTGGTTGATGCCAGCCAATTCTGCAATGCTCCTGAGTGCATGGTTGATGACCACATGAAGGCTTGGGCAACAAAACAGGGCTTCCCTGAAACCACTCCGAATGGAAAGCCCTGGAAAGCGAAGCAACTTATGCGGGGTGCTGAGCGGCAAAGTATCAGAGAGTGGGAAGACAAAGTCAGAAAGATTTGTGGACTACAGCCAGGAAAGCTCACTACGTCTTTCATGAATGTGACTCAATCTGTGGCACGGTCTCCTCATGCTCCATTTTGCCCTGCTTTGATGACCCGTTCACGGATTTGGTCCATGAAGGCACAGCGTCACATGCTGGTGGCAGAGATGTTCCAAGTGCAAGGGTTCAACATTTTTGAACTGGGGGTTGGCTACGTGTGCCCTTTCAAAGACATGGTGCTGGGGGACGCTATTCCGGAAACTTGTTTGAGAAGGATGTGCGGCAATGGCATGTCAATGCATTGCATAGGTGCATGCATTTGCTTCCTCCTGGCCTGTGTTGACTTCATCCCCCTGAACCAGCTTGCCGGGCAATTGGAAGTCAAAGAAGAGCCCAAGGATTCTGATGAAGATGCTGAGCGAGTGCGGTTGCCCAAACGCCGCAGGCCCGCTAGCTCAAGTTTCAACTAGATTATGCTAGAGTGACGAGCGCTCTTTGCAAGAAAAGCTGCATCCAGTTATTGTGTTTTCTTTCTCCATTCAGGTTGCTTTGTGCTTCGTGCTTCCCTACGTTTGGCTTTTTTGCTTTGAACATACTTGTCTAGCCTCAAGCTGTCCATCTACGTGTGAGTGTCACCCGCATCATCTGATGGAGAGGGAAGCTGATGACCTTGCAAGCTTGTTGGCCAAACCCTTGGCTAAGCAAGCTCAGGCAGCAAAGGATCCGGAAAATGCAGCGGCAGAGAAGGGGGGGAACAAGCGCAAACGCGCTGAGACACCGCCTCCACCGCCGGCGGCAAGTGGGGCCAAAGAGCAGGAGAAGAAATGCAAGTCTTGCAAGAAAAAGAAGCCGATGAGCTCCTTCTACCAATCACAAGCAAATTGCAAAGACTGCAGCCATGCCAAGAAGAATGTACAAAAGATGGCAAAGAACCAGAAGGAAACCGCATGGGTCAATGGATTGTCAGAGCAACAGCTCGAGGAACTCACCAAGCTTTACTTGAAAGAAAAAGAGAAGGCGGACAAAGACCATGTGCGCTGCAACTTCCAGATCAGGCGGCGCAAGGAAACCGTCAAAGCTTCTTCAGGAGTCAGAGCTGAAGGAAGGAGGCGCTTCATGAATGAAATTGCTTGGATGAAATGGGCTCAATCTGAAGAAGGAGAGAACTATACAAAGAAGCAAGCGGAAGACAAGTGGCAAGAGATGCTGTCTGATGATCGAGTTGAGCGTTTGGGCGAGGGGAAAAAGATCCGCTTGGCAGTCAAAGTCTTCGATGAGCTTGTCGATTACAGCGATGTCGGCAAGGAGAGAAGCGTGGAGCAGGAAGGCAGGCTGTCCAACAAGCTCACGAAGGAACAGCTGCAGCAGAAGATCAACTCCGTCGTGTTGTCCAACCACGACAGTGGCCTGAGCATTGACAAGGCAGCGTCGGCCCAAACTATGGCCAATGAAGTTTTGGAGGGGGGTGGTGAAGCCTGCTTTGGATCGGCCAACCTTCCCGGCCAAACACTCCAAGGCATCTACGAGCAAGGGCAAGCTTCTAACAAGCGAAAGCGGGATGGGGAGATGGAGGAGAAGGTTGTGGGCTCAGACAGTGAAGGCGGCAAGTCTGACGCTGAAGAGAAGGCGGCAGGGTCCTCGGAAAAGACGGAGAAGCACGGCCGTTCTCAGGAGGCAAAATGGTTTGATGCCGAGGCAGAGATTGCAAAAGCCCAGCGTCAAGTCAATGATTTGAAGGGGAAGTTCGAAGTTCGCATGACAACCATGCTGAACACCATGGCAGAGCAAATGGATTTGTCCCGTGCAAGCGGGGTTGACATGCTTGTGGAGATGAAGATTGTTGCATCCCGACGGGAGGCCCTCAACATCATCCACTCTGGAGATGCAGAATCTTTCCAAGCGTATTGCGCAAAGATCTCGAAGAGCCATGGTCAAGTTTAAAGAATTTGCTTTGATTGTAGCGCGGCCTTTTTTGTAAAGACCAACGCCTGCAGGGTTGATATGGCTTTTGTTTGTGCAGCTCTCCACTGGGTTTTTGGTGGTAAAACAAACCAATATATTGGTAGACAGCCAATGTCCAAGATGCTGTAAAGATAGATCTGACAGCAGTGTTCATGTGGACTGCAGGACTGCGCGTGATGTGAAAAGCGTGAGAACTTCCACGGGGTCAGCGAACGAGCAAGTGGCAACAGTGGCCGGGCCTTGCAACAACTATGATAGCCTTGTGACCCTGTCGCAGTTCAGCGGGCTTACCAAGTTTGACCTCGAGGATGTGAAGACGGCTGACGCCTTGGCCACCAAGTGGAAGGGGATAAAAGAGGCCATGAACCATTGGGATGAGCTTTTGTCAAGCTGCAAGACTGCGGTGGCGGAGCTTAAGAAGGCCTCCAAGATGAAGGGCCAGGAACCAAAGAAGAAGGCAAAGGCCAAGGCAAAGTCTGGGCCTAAGAGTCGGGCGAGCAAGAAGAATGGCAACAATGTCCCGGAGACTGCTTTCGCCATCTTTGATTGGATCTCCACAGATGAGCGGGCATTTGAGATCACCTCCTCAACTGGGCCGATCACAAAGGACCATGATATGTCCGAGCCCTTCATTAGCCGAGTTTCAGCCAGTCTTTGCAGCTTACTGGAGACAAAAGATGACCTGAAGGCCAAGCCAGAGTGTGCAAACCATTTGGCCTTGAAGGAGGAGCTGGAGAATTTCAAGGAATCTTTTGCTACCAGCGACTTGAGGTTTGTTGCGGGGAAGGCCCAGAAGCTGGCAAGTGACGACATGGATGCCTTCATCAGGCCTGGTTGTCTTGCCGCTCTTGCGCCTTTTGTTGATTTGTGTGAACCCTTTAAGGCTTTATAGAAACATAGAAACTACTTTCGGGGTTCAATCGAAAGTTTTTCTAGAGATTGAATGTCTGTTGCTGCAGTGGGGTGGACAGGCAATGCTTTGTCAATGAGTACCTCCCGGCTGACGAAGTCAAGCTCATGGGTGACATCGATGCAGCCTTCAAGCCTTTGTTGAAGGCGGCCTTGTGGGGGTGCGCAGGAGGCTACAGGTCTATCAAATTTGAAGTTGGTGGCATGGCCGTCATTCGCTTCTGGGAGCAGGGTTCCAGAGAAGTCATCATCTTTGGTGCAGGGGACGTCTTGGATTTTCTGAGACAGGATGAGACTTTTGAAGAGGGTCAAGTTTTGACCACAACGCATGCGACCAGCTTCGCTACCCATTGTGAGGCTGAGCAGTACCAGCGCTTCATGACCTTTGTCGAAAACAAGAGCGCTAAAGTGTGGAAAGGTAAAATTCAGAAGGGAGAGGCTTTGTACGTGCCCGCTGGGTTGGTGTCAGGTGAACGCAATGGGGCACATGACAATGCTGGCGTGAAGGCTTGCATTCTTGCTCCGAAGGACGAGTCTGGCACAGCGTCCTTGCGGAAGATGCAACAAGAGTCCAAAGATATGGGCAAGTCAAGCCCAAATCTGGATGCGCTGCTCTTGTACTTGGACGACCTCGCAAGCAAGCGTCGTGCTGCAGCCGCTGAGCAGCCATCGCCAGAACACAAGGACGAATCTGGTGGTGCAACGGCCCCGTCGGGCGGAGCGTGAGAGTTAGTAGGGCGTAGGGCGAATCTGAAAGATTCTTTTTCCCAATGCGGGATGTGGAGTTGGCAAATCGCTAGAGTTATATAGACTTGTGACAATTTTGAATTTGCACAAGCCTTTAGTAACTTTAGTATGTAGTAGTGGACAAATTTCTCCAGAGAGGCGGTGGGGCCAACTTGGTTGAGTTGTAGTGCGGCTGTTGCTTTGACAGTGCGAACATTGTCTAAGGGTGTCTGCAGCACGCAGTTTGAGCATCAAACTTGGAAGTTAGTGTCAAAACTAAGCGTGGCTTGCTCACTCTTGTTGCTACAATGCACCGCTTGGGATGAAACATACCAGAACCAAGATGTGTCAAGATGTAGGTAAGGCAGTGGCTCAGTCGTTTCCTACTTTGTTGAACTCTGAGGCCGCCCACCTATGTCCGCTTGTGGCCTCGCTTTTTCAAAAGCGCGTGAGGGACAGCTGTTTCAACTGAATGCAAAAGATGGATTGGCGTAGTCGTGAATCGTGTGCCAAGCAAGCATGTCCTTTGTGAAGGAAATTCTGATTTGCAAAGAGTTCACCACATTACTTGCTTGTTTGACAGAAAGTTCGGTCATTTCTTCAGTGATATTGATTGATATCGAGCCAAGCTTTTTTGTTGCAGTTTTCTGAGCTCAGTTACCCCGGTGTGGCGTTGCCCAAGCTTTTGGCTTTTGCGACATGTCTGGAGCATCTCTTCCAATCTCAGGCGAGGCAATCGTGCGCAGTAGTGGCGCCTCTATTCAGCCTGGCCGACTTCCTTTGAAGCCAAAAAGTGTTCCTGCGCCCAAAGGCAAAGGAGCCGGAGCCGGAGCCGAAGGAGAAGAGAAAAAGAGCAGCTTTGATCCGTGGACGGCTCTGAAAGATGCAGTCGACTCGGCAGTTCGCAGAACTCCTTTCGGTCGCGGGAAGTCTTGTGATGACATCATAGTTGTGGAGCCGGAACGGCAAGATCGCAGCCGCAGCCCTGTCAGGGCAACCGCTCAGCCCATGCGCCGGCCTAATGTGGATGATGGGGGTGATTCTGATTCTGGAACATGGGAGCTTGGGACGCAAGATTCACCCTCCCCTCGCCCTCGCAAATCGGGCCAATTAGGCCGATCGGGCCGATCGGGGATCTCAACCGATCCAGTGGTTCATGATAATGAGCCGGCCGGGCATGGCAAAACACCGGCGATGTAAATCTGTGCAGGCTGTGTCTCCTGCATGTCAGTTTTGAAGGAGTGTGCGGCGCTTGAAAAAAGGGCGTCTGGTTTTTGAGTTCGGATGTGCTTGCTTGAGTTTGACAGACATATCCTCACAGACAGTCTCTCATACTCATACGTTCCGTGTTTTTGTTTTCGTTTGTTTGTGCTGATTTTGGTAGTCACACATACGTTAAATGTGTGTAATGTGTTAGTGCCATTGGCCGCTCTTAAAGCGTTCACTCCCAAGCCAGTGCACATGTTCATTCTACGCTGGACCAAACTGGCCACGCTCGCAACAAGGAAACAACCAGAACTTGTGGTAGGGGCGCGCGGCGCAAAACCATGACTTTCTGCAAGTAGGAGGTTAGGAATTGAAAGACAATCTCCCAAGGCAACCCCAGGGCCAACAATCTCCAACAAACTGGTAGATATGAAACCACCTGCACCCTTGGTTCAGCGAACCGAGCCAAACATTTTTTGTAGCCCTTTGTGTTTGTTTAGCGAATCCCCAGAAGGAACCGCCATGCCCCAAAGCGTTTTTGCCTGCCACGAAACCTGCTTTTCGATGTTGAAACCATATTTTATTTTGTACGTTAGCTATGAACACAGGATGTATTTAATAGGACATTGCACCTGCCACAAAACGGACAGCGCCAGGTCTGAAAAGGCGCAACAATCACCGGAGCCAGCTCAACACACTCCTGCAAGCTCAAAACACTCCTTCCACATGAGTTCTGTGGCCTTTGTCCAGGATTTTTTCATCCAAAGCGAATAGATTTTTTCTTGAGAGTTTCTGAGTACAGCGCTCAATCAAAACTGGGTTCACAAAGGGTGCGCCACAGTGGGACGATGCTGCGAATCACACTTAGAATAAAGCTCAAGCGAGCGCACTTCAGTCGCTGAGTCAACCGATGCAAAAACGCTTTGACCGACCACTTGCCCAAGTTAACTTCACTTGCCCAGGGCCACTTGCTCAGGCTTACTTGCTAGCAACTTACTAGATGACTTGGTGGTAGTGGAGCCTCGAGAAAAGTCAGGCCAGGTCTTATGGGGTCAAGGGGTGCCTAACACGGAGCGGCGGGGTTGAAAACTAACACACGAGTCTACCTCCAGACCCCGAGAGTTAAACGAGAACCCTTCGCCACGCATTCGGGAAAATATCCTACAAAGAGGAATGATACAGCGAACAAACAAATGAAGACCTTTTTCTTGAGCCACTGTCATGGTTTTTGCAGCACGTTCCTTGCCCCAATGGTCGCGGAGCATCTTCCATCGTGAGATGAGTTGGTTGTAAATTAGCCTTTTGTGGCGAGCGGTCGCATGGGATATCTATATGGTTGGACAGCCTCTCTTGGCTTGCCGAGGAGACCTCGTACGCCATCCAGGTCGCCGCCGGGATTCCGTGATCGACGACTCGACGACCTCAACCGGCAAAGAAGTGGAAAGGAGTCAAGCGCATCATTCGGGGGCAGACCCTGGGATACAGTGAGCACGGACGACGTCCAAAGGGGAAAGGGAAAGGAAAATGGCACCGAAGATGAGAAGACCCGCAGCGGCCGCAGGGCCCGATCGACGGAGGCGAGGTATACTTCGACCTGCAGCTCATCGCGAAGATGCAGAAGTCCGGGGCGAAGACACCCTGACCTGGGACCCGAGCGTGGGCGATTTGGTGATAGCCGAGGGGGCGCATTACTTCGGAGCTCCCTGTCGCTTTACAGGCCGCATCCTCGAAGACTCGAGGGACGCTGCGGGACGTCGCCTGGCGATTCGGCTTCATGGCGCCGATCACGAACCCCTACTGACGTGGGCCACCGGTGCAACAGCCCCGGCCCGCGTACACCTTTGCCCACAAGGTCTACTGCATTGCAACGACCTCCGCACCATCAAGTCCTTAGAGGAGCTAGTCGGAGTCCCTTGGCGAGACGTTTTGTTGGAGGGTCGACCCAAAGGGGAGGACGAGCTGGCCGGCTTGAGATCGAGGATGGATGGCATCGGGGGTCCAAGCCCTGGGGCAGTTGCAGCAGCCGCCGAGATCGACGAGAAGGAGAAAAAGGAGAACGCAGAGAACTAGACGACGAGTGGCCCGAAAGCATTTTTCATCACGTAGGAAGTCAGAGTGTGAGTTATCTGTTAAGTGTTCAGTGTGAAGTGTTAAGTCGAGTGAGTTGAGGCAGTGTGTGGGTCTCTGTGTGTGTGTATCTATGTCTGTGTGTGTGTGTCTCCGAGTAAGTTGAGGCAGTGCGTGGGTCTCTGTGTGTGTGTGTGTGTCAACCTTTTAAGAGAGCCGGGTGGTCGGGAGATGACTCAGCTGCAGGGGCGCCAGAGCAGCTGCGAGAGATGACTCAGCCGCGAGAGATGACTCATCCGCGTACTAAAGTTGCACTGCAAAGTCACCAGTTCTCAGCTTCCAGCTCCCCAGATACTCCGCGTACTAAAGTTGTACTACAAAGTCGCCAGTTCTCATCTTCCAGCTCCCCAGATACTCCGCGTACTAAAGTTGTACGACAAAGTCGCCAGTTCTCATTTTCCAGCTCTCCAGATACTCCGCGTACTAAAGTTGTACTACAAAGTCGCCAGTTCTCAGGTTCCAGCTCCACAGACTGCTCCACGTACTACAGTTGTACTACAAAGTCACCAGTTCTCATCTTCCAGCTCCCCATATGCTCCGCGTACTAAAGTTGTACTACAACTTCGCCAGTTCTCATCTTCCAGCTCCCCAGATACTCCGCGTACTAAAGTTGTACTACAAAGTCGCCAGTTCCCAGCTTCCAGCTCCACAGATTGCTCCGTGTACTAAAGTTGTACCAGAAAGTTGCCAGTGCTCATCTTCCAGCTCCCCAGAGACTCCGCGTGCTCAAGTTGTACTACAAAGTCGCCAGTTCCCAGCTTCCAGCTCCACAGATTACTCCGCGTACTAAAGTTGTACTACAAAGTCGCCAGTTCTCATCTTCCAGCTCCCCAGATACTCCGCGTACTAAAGTTGTACGACAAAGTCGCCAGTTCTCATCTTCCAGCTCCCCAGATTCTCCGCGTACTAAAGTTGTACTACAAAGTCGCCAGTTCTCAGCTTCCAGCTCCACAGATTGCTCCGTGTACTAAAGTTGTACTACAAAGTCGCCAGTTCTCATCTTCCAGCTCCCCAGATACTCCGCGTACTAAAGTTGTACGACAAAGTCGCCAGTTCTCATCTTCCAGCTCCGCAGATACTCCGCGTACTAAAGTTGTACTACAAAGTCGCCAGTTCTCAGCTTCCAGCTCCACAGATTGCTCCGCGTACTAAAGTTGTACTACAAAGTCGCCAGTTCTCATCTTCCAGCTCCCCAGA